TCATAAAGAATAATGAAGAAAAACGGAATTGTGGATGCTAATTTGGGACAAGTCCAAATGAAAATCGAGTGTTCAATTTTAATCTTCTTTTTTCTAAGAATAAACTTTAAAAGCTAAAGAGTAAAGATAACAATACAGGAGGTTGCTTATAAAGCAAAGTATAATGTAATTTCATTCCTCTGCAGCAGGGGTGTTCATAAAAATCCGAAAAATCGAACCAAACCGACCAAAAAAATCGATACTTTTTGGTTTGGTTTGGTTTTGGTTTTGAATTTTAAAAACCGATCAAATTTGGTTTGATTTTGGTTTTAATCAGAAAAAATCGAACCAAACCGACTATAGGAGTAGCTATTTCAAATTTATTATTACACCTATATATATCTATATTGTTATACAAAGTTTCAAAAAATTTATGGTAAATGTTAATAGTTTGCACTTATAATATAGTTCTTTACCTTTACATTATAGTTTAATTGGTAGTTTTCTTTTGTTTAGTGTAAGAATCCATTTCGTGTCATCACTATTTGATTTAATTATCATCAATATATCTTGGTAAATAATAGATTTCTCAAAGGGCAATTGATTTGATAGTGTTACATTGAAAATGTGGTCGCCGGAATATGTGTTTGGTAGGGTATGTCTTATATTTAAGAAAAAACCGACAAATAACCGAAAAAACCGAAATAAACCGAATCGAAAAAACCAACTTAATTTGGGGACACGTGTGAATACGTAGTTGGACGTCGTACCTGTTTGTACAGCGCACGCGCATGAGCATTTTATCATGTGTTTGAAACGACGCCAATAACCCATTGTGTTGCTTCGCTGTCCCCGTCCAATGTTATCAGTTAGCCGTCCATTTCAATTACGCGCCACCAACTTCCGCTGTATTCCACCCACCCCACGGCTTCTGCCGTCAGTTAATGTGCTGAATCGCCGCTCATCAAGTTTATATCTAAGTATTATGATCGAGTATTCACACTCGGTCGGCGAAAATGGACTTCAATTATCTCCTCTTCTGTTCCTTTTATATCACAGAGATCATCATAAACTTCTATCGTTTTTGGAGTTGTATGAGTACTTCAAAACTGAATGGAACAGATATTAAAATTATATATGTAGTGGAACTTCTCTTTTGTAAGATTATAGTGAACGAGAGTGTGGGGGAATTGGTCGCTCTGTTTCACAGCAAACGCGCCGACAGAAATACCCTATTCGTTTTATGTTTCTTTCTTTTTCTTTTGTGGTTGTTATTAGAGATATACCTTATTTATTTTAAATAAATACTTTATTCGTTTCATATTAGATGAGATAGTTTGATTCGGCACGAAATTTAAGAAAAAAAAAGAAACTTTTGAAACTTGTGGTCTTAAAGCTTAAGGGGTAAAAAGTTTGTGGGGCCAGGATATTTGTGTGGCTATAAAAGCTTCTCATTAAGGGTAAATGGGTAAAATGAAAGAGTTTAAAGTTGAATTATTTCCAAATTTAGAAATGTGTTATTTGTTTTGGAACAGACTAAAAAGGAAAGTACCTCATCTAATATGAAACAGAGGGAGTACCATTTTAAAAAATTATATTCCATAGCTACCTTTTGATTTTTATAGCAAAATATTTATTTACGGTCACCTCTTATCCTTAAGCCATAAAATACGCTTTGTATTATTTTTCTCTCTTATTCTTTCAGATTTTTCTCCACCCTCTCTCTCAACGTCAATTTTCTCTATGAATACAAACTCATGAATTCTCTCTCATCAGTTCCTCCGTCGATAATAGTTCCTTGTGTTGAATTTGGCGATTTTGAGGACATCATGTTTGCAGTGCCAAAGTTGAATTTCTATTTGCTTACCTTATTGATTCTGTTTCCTCATGATACGGCTAATTATTTGTTAAAAGAAAAGGAAAAAGGGCCAAGTTTGGTTTTGCATTCGTTGGTTTTTGACGGCGGAAATTAGGTTACTGCCAAACATTGGAATCACTAAAACAAAGTGGTTTCTGAAAGTTTCTCTTATTTAGTCCATTTTGACCCAGTCCATCTTAGCCCAAATACACTTTGGATTGGGTTGACAATGACCCATTTATTGACATAACTCATTTTGACCCGCCCAAATTCAACTCAACCCGTCCATTTGTCACCCCTACCATGGAGTGCACTGTCTGTATTAGTATAGTGTTAGAGAAAGATACCATTACCGCAGTGACTAGCAAATCTTTCTATTGACTAATCGTGCCTTGACGTTATTTAGATAAGAAGTTAATAGGTTGAGTAGAAACTATTTGAACTTGCTATTTAATTGCTCAAATGGATTTAGTATTTCATTCCCGAATTTTATACTTTACCCTTCTCAATTATAATATCGTTAAATCCCAAGCATCTACACGATTAATGTTTGAGATGAACTTATTAAAGATTCATTAATATTCTGAATGGCTTCCAAGGGATAAGTGATCCTTCAAACTATCCAACCCTTCGGGAATTTAGAAAATCACAATTGAAGAAGAGCTAGTCCTTTTTGGTTAATTAGAGGTAATTAACTTCTGCTAATTGTTTCCAGTTGTATTTTAAATTCTTAAGTTTTTCTTCTCCGTTCTGTTGTTCTTTCTATTTCCATTAAGTTGGAGTTGCCCTTCATTGACATTCCGTATCAACAAGTCAAACTTAAAATTACTTAAAATGAAAAATAAAGGGCTTTTTTCATTTTTATCCTGAAAATTATTAGAGAAGGTAGTCCAAATATACAAAATATATACACTGATTACGTATATATTATATGTATATTTATATTGCCGATTACTTTTTTTGGCACCCAAAAATATAATCTTCTATATTATATTAAAAGCACGAAGGCTCTTGGCGAAATGTTGATAGAACTTTTTATCCTTCATTAAAAGACACCATAATAGACAAAATAGTCATTTACTATTGTCCTCAAATTATTGCCTAATTATTTTTATAATATTTCACCTAATAATTACGCACAAATTTATTAAAAGAAAATCCTTATTCCCTTTGATTTCTTTCCAAATATGGAGACTTGAAGAAGTCACTATATAAGCATATCTCCAAGTAAATTTGGGGAATTGAAAACGTATACTTGTCCAATTTGTTTCATAGTTTGTTTTGATTTGATTTAGGTTTAGCTTTTTGTTTTTGCTTTATTCTTTGTAGTATATTTTCATGAATTAATATCTAACAATAATTTTAACTTTCAATTTAGAACTCCACATAAACTCTTCGCTAAAGTTCTTGTTTATGCTCTCCATGATTTTATTGCAATCTATAGTGTCATCCGACCAGGTATGCTTTTATGTTCATTTAAAGTGCTGAGATTTTTTTGCTTAATTATGATGTGGTTTCTCTTTTGTTATAATAATAATAATAATAGTGCAATTTGCTTCTTCTAGCCCTTCTACAAAGTAAATTTATTTGTTTTCCTAAAATACAGTTTTTTCTTCTTGTATAGGATTATAATTTCTTACACAGTAATTATCAAGTTCATTAATCCAATACTTGGCGACTTCCACGGGTTATTCGACATGCTAAAATTATTTAAAGTCGATTCTTCTTTCGCTATTTGTAATATATGTCTGTTTGTGCATGTGTGTTCCTCTGTACATTTTTGAGATAGCAACTACGTTAAAACTGCAAAAAATTTATAGGTTGTGAAACATAAATAGCTGTACTCTAAACAATTAAAAATTTAACGTAATATGTGCTATTTTGCAACTTAGAATTGTTATATTTAATCTACAGAAAGGGTCCTGAAATATTTTGTTTGACGCCTCCAATAATTTATTCTCTTATATTGTTTGGCGCGGTGCTTTATAGACAAAATTGTTATTTACTATTTTTCTCAAACTATTTTTTAATATTTTACCTTATAAAAGAAACACTACCGTTTAGGAAGGAATTTTATCTCCCATGGTAACAATGCATCATTAATACTCTGAACTATATTAAATTAAAGGAGAGAATTTTATGTGTTTATTTACAAGAGTTGTTTCGGAACTTTGGATTGCTTATTTGTTTTTTCGAATGGAATTAAATTGCACATGCGAATCTCCTAAAAAGATGGGTTAGAATTAACTTATTCTAGCAACTATAAGGAGCCCTTCCTATTATTCGTTCACAAAAGTTTTAGAAATATACCAATAATTTATTTATTTTATATTTTATTGCAGGATACATATTATAAATTCAATGCACAAATAAATAATATAAAAAATAAAAATGATAAGGTCCTTAGAAATGTTGATTTAACTTTTTATCATTCACTAAAAAAATTCATAGTCGACGAAAAAGTCATTTGCTATTTTCTTAAATATTAAATAAGTATAATCTTATACAAAAAATGTATAGGCTATTTTGGTAAGAATATGCTGAAAATAGAAGTCTAAATAAATATGTCATTTCGTGTCACGATTCAAAAGTATCTTTAATTAAGAAGATACGAAACAATATCATACAAATAATTAATAAGAGGAGTTTTTACTATAAAGTCGCCAGTGATAAAGTTTAATACAATTCGTTTACAAAAGTTTTAGAAATAAAACCAATCTAATTAATTTATTTTATATTTTTTTACATAATACATATTATAAATTCAATGCACAAATAAATAATATAAAAAGTAAAAATGATAAGGTCCTTAGAAATGTTGATTGGAACTTTTTCGATTCACTAAAAGATTCCACAATGACAAAAAAGTCATTTGTTATTTTCTCAGACATTAAATTAGTATAATCTTATACAAAAATATATAGGCTATTTTGGTAAGAAGTGCGCTGAAAATATAAGTCTAAATCTATATCATTTAGTGTCATGATTCAAAAGTACTTTAATTAAAGAGATACGAAACAATACCATACAAATAATTAATAATAGGGTTTTTACCATAAAGTCGCCAATGATAAAGTTTATCAAATAATACTTTACAACAATTTATTCTTATTGTATACTACATTTTTTACTTATTGACGATGACATGCACATGCAAATCACATACACAAGGGGTATAAAATTTAACGGCAAGCAATTTAGCAACGGATTAATGACGAAGTTCGTAACTAAGTCCAAATTTTTTTTGTAGTATGTGTTGTCAAAAGAGGTACGCGTTTTAATCAAGCGCAAAGCGCGTACACTTAAACTAGTTATCCCAAAAAATAAAACCAAGCCGAAATGGGGCAATATTGGAAGGAATTGAAACAGGACATAACCACCTCAACACTGACTCTTTATAATATCAGGCCAGGGCATTAACATTAAGCTGCAACATGATACTAACAAGGATTAACTTGCATCAATTACTTTAGCCACTGAATCTCCTCCCCATTGTTTTATCCTGTCTCCAGCAAGGGAAGCCTGTAATTTGACAGACGAATTTAATGTCTTAATTATCAATTTTGCAGTATATGGGTGCATTTATTGTCTAGAAGCTTGAATTGGTGTTACTACATATGGGAACCTAATAGTTCATGCAAAAGTAGCAGAGTTGGGATTTTCACTAAGGGGTATCAAAATACAATATTCTGAAGTGTGTGTTAGTGCCTATGAGCAGACAATAATGGAGTACCTCCTTATTCCAGTTAGTTCTGAGGACCATCGCGATTAGGACAGTAGTCTGAAGACTAGTACCTCCCAGCATTCCTAACCAAATGCCCTACAAAATACAGCACAATAGCAGTGTCACTGGAGCTTATGTACTTGTTGCTGTATACAAAGGTTAGACCACTATGTTAAACAACTGAAATATGAGAATCTTGATGGAGAATATAGAACAAAAGAAAATAAATGAAATAAAATACTCCATCCATTTTCGTTTATGTGAATTTGTTTGACTGTCACAAAGTTTAAAGAAAAAAGAAAGAAAGACTCTGGAACCTATGATCTTAAACATACCATGATATTTGTATGGCTATAAAACCAAATCATTAAGGATAAAAATACTAACTATAACAAAGTTGTTGTTCTTTTTATAAATAAGAAGGAAATAACGTCACGTAAATTGGGATGGAGGAAACAAAATCTTACGTTGACGCCCATGTTGAAGAGGAAACCGAGGATGAGACCAATAGGAAGGCCAAATAAATAGTAGCAAGCTATGTTTACATATGCAACATAAGCTTGCCATCCTGCTCCAATGGCCACTCCTGCAATTTCAAAAATTCTACCCAGTCAAAAACCATCACTAATCCTAATGAGGCCATGAATTAGCACTAAGATTTTAAAGAGGCAGTGAATATATGTACCAGAAAGAGTAGGTTGAAGACTGTTTATGAACACGGTGGCTGCTAACAATGGTGTAAGCTCATGTACAACCGTCTGGACTTCCTTACTATTTGTAAATAACGGGGGAAACTTGCTTCGACAAACAAGTAGAACCAGTGCCAGGAGCATACCGAGCAGAAGAGAAGCGAACGAGGCTACTATCATTGCTATTTTCGCGGTTCTTGGATGTCCTGCCCCTAGTTCATTTGACACCCTTATGCTGCCACATGAACGTCCTTTCTTTCATATTCTACTTATTGATTTGAGAGTTGTGGGGGATAACGAATATTTAAAATCTAAATGGGATCATACCTAACTGCCACATTCAATCCAAGAGACACCATGAACGTCCATGCACAAATGTTCGAGCTGCAATAGAATATAACAGAGTGAATCAGAAAGAGAGGGAACACCTTCCAGATGTGCTGGACATTTTGTTTTCCTATATGATTTTGATGTGATCTCTCACCATATAGAAATTGCATCGACAGCTATTTCCGCATTCTTGAGATACCCCGTAAAGAGAATCAGCGCCATGTAATACCACATCTCTAAGCTGCACAAATCTTGAATATTAGTTAACATCTAGGCCACTTGATTTGAAGCCTAATCATAACGAAACAATATAAAAATAGGAGGAGAATGTGTATGTATAAGATTATTTAACTTTGAATGTAATCGTGATAACTCATGACCTTATACAAATCTTGGAAAAAATTTATACATACATACTAATATTGGACTGATTTTCTGCGAAAGGGAATTGTGATACATTTTCCCTTGAAAATTTGGTTTCCACAGCTATAAGTGAGTTGAAGTGTAATTTCTTTGATAAAGGAGTTGAATTGTACTTTCTATGTTTTTAATGAGACTTCTTTACACCATATAGCTGAAGTAAACTTTTGAATCAAATGCTAGCTCCAAATAGTCACTGGACGAAATTATTCGTCTTTGAGTCCAAAAATCCAGAGAAAAAAATGTTATAACTGACATTTTGCAAGCTGCAGGGTTGCAGCACAATCCAAAATCTGCCGAGATTCTAGATTGTTCTCTTTTTATATCGCTGTCTGTAAAATTAAGAGAATTTTGGAAACAATGAAACGTATGCAATTATGGATCATGGCCTTATTCTTTATCCCTCTCCGTAGTAGCAGCCTCAATCAATTAGAGCACGATATATATGTAGTTAACCAGTGCATTATTTGGTGTGCCCTTGTTGCTTGAACTAAACAACATGAGATGGTCGTAACAATCTCAATTCTCAGGTTGTCTAAAATAACTTCGTGGTTGTTTGGACTATTAAACAACCTGATCTCCTGGTGTTTGAATTAAAAACCCTGTATTTGTGTTGAACACCTCTCGTTGGAGCTGCCGGACCACAAGGGTCTACTGAACGCAACCGTACCCTACATTTCTGCAAGAGGCTGTTTCCACGGCTCAAACTCGTGACTTCTTGGTCACATGGCAACAACTTTACCAGTTACGCTAAGGCTCCCCTTTGGAAAGATCACAAAGACGAATAATTTAAAAAAGGCTTCAATGATGGAAGGAACTTACCAGATCATGACTGCAGATGCAAAAGACAATTGGACAAATCCCCATAGATTTTGAAAAGCCTTGCAAGAAAAACCAGACCAAGCTTGACCACATGTCCCACTAAATATATACGCGAGATTGGCCACCACCATGAACCACGAGGATGCATTCAGCGCCAATGCAGCACCCGCCAGTCCCCATCCCATCTTGAGCATCAACAGCCAGCTAAACAAAGTATGCCCAACTACTGTAACCCCGGCTATAGCGGCCATCACCATGACCTTGCTCTGAGCTTGCAAGAACTTCCTGATGGGAAAGTTGATTGCATTGGCAAATAGCTGCGGAATCATCCACACTGCAAACGTCCCCGCCCATTTCGATATCTCAGGATCTTGACCGATGAGTTTTAGGAGAGGCGTGGCGAATATGTAAGGAAACACTAACACCAGGGCCGTGCTACCTACAATAATCCAAGATCTCTGCATGTAAATCCCCAGCATTTCGAGCTGTTTTGCTCCATATGCTTGCCCACAAAGCGTCTCTAATGCACTTCCCATCCCAAACTGTACATTGTCACAAAAATGTTAATGTCATCATCAAAAAATATATATATATATCACTCAAATAGTAAGTTGATGTTAATGCCATCATCAAATATGACATACTATATATAAACAGTTAGCTAGAGGGATGTGTGATAAATGATTATACCATGATTCCAAAGGCAAAACCGGCAATAACAGAGTTTTGAACGGAGATGGCAGCGAGTTGGATGGTTCCGACATGGCCAGCAAAGATTTGAGTAATGGCACTAATTGAATACTGGCAAACCAAAGTAAAAACTGCTGGAGCAGCAAGGTACCACAGCTTCTTGGTCTCCCTCGAAAACTCACGGATCAAATCTTTAACTCCACGGTTAGGTAATTCGATGTCATCTGCATCAGAATTACTTGATGTCAGAAGTGACACATTAGCTTCCTCCATCGATGCCCTGAGGAAGGCTTGGTGGAGGAAATCTGAGATAGCTACAAGTTTTGCTCCGTTTATTATTCATCATCTAATCATGTTCACCACATCTTTTATTTTAAAATCTTCCTCTGGCAAAAAATATTCCATTGACTGTTGCACGATGCTTTAAATATTTAAGGAATTTTACAAGTGATCTCATCATACTAATATTATTACGTGAGGGGCATTGGCTGGTATACGAGTTTATTTGAAAAGAGGAAAATGTTTCCATAGTCCTATTTGTCTGGTTGACTAAATATATGACAAATCATATTCTCAGTAAAAATGTTATCCTTTAGTTAACGAAACATGACTTCTCAAAAATCTAAGCGTGAGTCATTTTACTTAAAACTCAAATGGTATCTCTCTCAGCCCATACCTTCAGGCTACCACGTGAGTTTTGGAAAGAAATCAAACCAATTATATAGCACCAACCGTGTTCGGGCGATGAAGCTGATGCTCATTCACACTAGTTTATCCTGATATGCCCTGCACCTTTGCTCTTCTAATTTAAAAGGTGGTCGGCCATTCGTCAAGGCCCAAGAATCCATGGACATCTCAGCAGCAGGATTTGATATCCGTATCCGAGCGAAGTTGCATTTTAGTGGTCCCCGAACATAAAGGGGAGAGTCGTTTGTTTCACGCTAGATAACAAGGGAAGGTTGATGTAAGCTTTTTCTTTTAATAGCCGGCTAACATCAATCTACCCTATCTCAATTCATCATTTCAAACCTTATTCAAAAGGTTTTTCCATACTAGCTCTATCTATTTCCATAATTGTCACGTCCAAAAGAACATTCTACGACATTTATACAGGATGAAACATGAATATAAATATATACAAACGACGATCGCCCCACGTGGCATGTTGTGCCACAAGAAACTTAAGAGGGCGACAAACTTGATAATGTAGCAACCACACAGCCACATCAAAAGCACCACGGTCTTGATGATGTAGCAGTCATACAACCACGTAAGAAATTACGAGCTTATGTCACGTTGAGTTAACAACTAGGGCATTTTCTACAAGCAACGTGAATATCTATTTATCTCTAAGCCATTTTTAATAGGGATGCATTGGCTCAGACCCTCTTTATCAGTTGTTGCAGTCCCACACAACGAACTAAGGAACATGCAAATGCGGAAAAAAAATCTTATAGTATTACACTTAAACTTCTAGAAGTTTAGTGAGACACTGATTAGGCTGTAGGAAGCTGACAATAGCAGCGTATCAGCGGGATGAAGGTAAAGCACGCCAATTATTGGCAAGAAGCATAACTCGATCACGAGAAGAAGTGGACATCTGTTGAAGTATAACGTTCTTCACGGGATCAGCTGCTGCCTGACCAGCACGACTGGCAAGTTCCAAGTACACCACAGCTTTCATCATTTCCCCTTCCTGTTGAAAGTGCAGCATGAGTTGTTAAAAGTTCACAAGCTAATGGGGAGAAAAAAAGGAAGGGATCTTTACACAAATAGTAGGCCGGATTCGCTTTTTACTTTTCCTAGCATGTATACAATTATAAACAGTAATACACATATTATAACATGGATTATACATATATTTTACTCCGACGGCTATTTTTAGTTTAAGCGGTTGAGTCTCTAGGTTAATTCTTCAAAAAGGAAATGAGATGTGGGGGGGGGGGGGGGTCTCCTTTTTTTAGTATGAAACACTTGGCACCACACAGATGCATGGAATTATATGCTTCTTTAAACTTAGATATGGATATTGTTGCAAGAGACAAGGGGAGGAGAAATATTTAGGCACTACTTACAGAAAACAGACTAAGCCCATGCTCAAGCTGGGCTTTGCTATGACCTCGATCAGCTGCTCTCTTCATCCATTTCCTTGCTAATTTGTGAGACTGCATTAAACCTTCTCCGACCGAGTAGCATAATGCAGTGTTATACATAGCACGGACATATCCACCTTCTGCTGCCCTCAAATACCACTTCGCCTATTCAATGATAGAATCCCTTAAGTGAAGGTCTCATTAGAACTACATCTGTAATTTATACAGGAAGCTGAAAAAAGAACAAGATTGTATGTACCATAAAATTCTCAAGACCTATATCTGCAATTTATACAGAGAGTTGAAAACGTACGCGCCATAATGGTGCACTTAACTTTTGATTTTAACATCCCTATCCAAATTCAAACCACCCCCCTTCATTTGAAGATAAAACTTTTGCGAATTCTTTTAAGTCTGGGTAGGATCAGCAATCACTTCTCCAATAATTAATTATTCTAACAAGTAACAACTCTAAAATTATCTTATACTAAATCTTGAAATATACTTGCCTCATCACAATTTTAAAATAATGAATTACAAACAACAGGTCCATCAACTTCAGAAACTAGAGCATCTGGACTAAAATTTTGAAATATATTAATTCAACTGAAAATGGAGCAGCAGGCATATGTTCTCTGCATACCTACGATAAAACTAAAGCACCATTCAAAATGCCTAGTAGTACATGTTTTTGGCATAAGTATCTTTTCCAGTCCTACCACGAGAAGTGTCCCGCAATATTCTTCATCAATGGGCCTGTCCAGTTCTTAAAAAAAAATGGACTCAAGGACCTTTTCCCACTTTTTTCTATGTACGTAATTGAATATTTAAGGACTATACGTCCTGTTCCGTCCAAAGACACTTGTTAAGATGAACAAAACACTATCGAACTTATCATCTTCTACTACTACTTCTGTTAATCGAAATCCTCCTTCAACGCCTTTTAGTAACTAGGTAGGTACAAGAGGAATTTGTTAAAATAGATGTTAATCGTGATTTTTTTTTTTATAGGAGTTTAAGCAGATTAATCTAAAATAATTTTCTTCTTAGATAGAGGTTGCAAAATCTCCTATTGCATGTTGCAATTTATAAAACAACATGGAGATATAATTTACAATTGACATGGGAAATTCCAGAACTAGATTCCACTAATCCTGTGAAAGCTTTTTTTAAATATAAAGTAAATAACTTAAAACAGGTAAAGTCTCATACCGATTCCTGGAGATTACTATTCAGGCCATGACCTTTATGTAAAGAAAGTGCTAGTTGGTATTGAGCTCGAACATGGCCAGCAACGGAGGCTTTAAACAGCCATTTAAGAGCTTCCTCATGATCCGAAGGATTAGCTACATAGAGTAAGAACTAAGAAGAGATCAGAAACACAATGAAACAGTAAAGTAGTTATGCAGTAATGAAAATTAAAGGTAAATGTTACCAATGGAAAATGAAACTTTAACCATTTTCAGTCAGAAAGCTTAACCTAAAACTCTACAAAGTGCATATCAAAGGCAAATTTTCTGCGTAGTGCTCTTTAATAACGCTCACATGTACAATATAGGAGCATGTTAACTATTGAGATCAGTGACTTCACTGGAGCCATGTTGACTATGTATACCTCTGTTTTTTTTTTTTTGGAGTCATGTTAACATTTATATTTTGGAACAGTCCCAATGCATAAATTTTTATCAATTTTGGTAGGAGCCATGTCAACAATTGAACGCGAGGCAACAAGGTTCTAGAAAACAATTTATTTACAATAACGTCAACAAGAATATTAACATCAATGTAAATTAATATTTTGACTAAACCTTTCAATTCCTGTATCAAACACATTGTTAGTAATTAGCTCACACAATTAAAGTTGCTAACATTCATTTATTCAGCTTAGTTTGATACAAATATCAATTAAGCATAATATAAAAGTTTGCTAACACACTTTCACCTTCTGAACCACAAGCTTACATTATTCTCAATGCTTTAGAATTCCTAGGACCTAGACTTAAATTGAATGTAAATAACTCAGCGATCATAGATGAAGAATCCAGAAAATATGATACTATCAACATTGCAAGCTAGTTCTTCCACTTAATCCGGGGAAGACATAGCATACAAGTCATGGGTTCATCCAACCCAGTAACTTTGTCCTCGACTTTCAAACGCAATAAATCAAATGGGCGGTGGTAGTATTTCGAACTCACTAACCCATGAAGTTGAAATCCCACTTAACTACTAACAACTACAATAATAAACAAGCAATATTCACCCAATCTCAATAAAGTAATGCAACAATCTCAATACCTTGTAAGAGGGAAATCCCCAAATTGCATTGAGCAGCAAGGTCACCAAGTTCAGCAGCCTTTCTATACAAAGCAATCCCTTCTTCTCTTCTCCCCATCTCCCAATAAACCAAGCCAGCATCGACCAATGCTAGCGTGGACCCACGCGCGGCGCCTTTAAGGAAAGAATCAAGCGCTTTAGTTAAATTGGGTTTAACCCCTCCACGGCCATGCTTAAATCGCTTGCCCCATCTCAGAAAAAGCATAGCTTCTCTTAAAGGCCGAAGTGCATCACACCAAGATTTGCACACTAGTGAAGCTGCACGTAAGTTCGGCAGCGTAAAATTGGCCGCAATTTTAAGGAGAACATCGTATGGAAGTTGAGAAAAGTCGTGATGGTATTGAATAGACTTGGACGATGATGATGAACTTGGACTGACTTGGAAATGAAAAATGGAGGGGTTTTTGGTGGGACGAGTCTGTTTTTTGGCGAAAGGGAAAGCGGTGAAACGAGGTTGACCGTCCGATTTGGACGGCCATGTTCTCTGTTTCATTCAATTGGGGTTTAGGACAAAGAAGAAGGGGCTGGAGTAGGCGCGGAGCTGAAGCGGTGAAGACGGTGGGCAATGGAGCAGGAGCATCTGTTCCTTTTTTTTGTTTGGGGTGTGTAACTTGAAACGCATCGTTCACGTGTAAACATCCGAGGAGTCGCGAAACTGTAGATTGTTTTTGAGCAATGTATTTCTGTTTGTTATTTGGAGATCCTGATAATAATAATAATAATAATAATAATAATAATAATAATAATAATAGTCCATATTATTCTTGTACTATTTAAAATTCATTAGATTTTAAACAGTACTATTTCAAATAATTCAAATTTATTCATGAACTAATTAAAATTGATCACATTTTAAATGATCCAAATTTATTCATGTACTATTTAAAATTGATCAAATTTTTCATTGGGCAACTTTTCTATCCGTCATTAGCAAATTATCTCCGTATTGAAATGAATGAAATCTACGTGTCAAATTTTTCGAGAAACAAGTTTAAATTTATCCTTCAAACTTCTAGAATTATTTAAGCTTACCCTCATGTTAAAGTTTCGTTATAGGTCGAACGACAAAAACAAGAGTAAGAGACTAGCAATGACATATCTTCAGTGCAAGCTGAAATCTAGTTCCAAAATCCAATTGTTATGAACAAGGTAGACCAAACCAAATGGATTGAGTTTAAGAATTGGTTACGCGTGAGTAGAGTATTAACCAACCCAAAGAGAGATTATAAGACTACAATTAGGACCCAGATTGAGGTACAACTGTCGATGAATTAGAGAAAATGCAGTTACTATAGTTATCAGTTTGTGCAAATATACGCTTATGCAAATTATTATCTGGAAAACTATTCTCTCCTGGTCTTTCTCTCCCTCAAGCTATTTCTCTCTCTGTAGTTCTATCTCCTCATCTCCTTTCTTTCTGTCTATTTCATTAGTTTATGACTATATCCTTTACTTTTCTATTGTAATCAGTTTATTTGAAAGTTTAATCAAGGCATCATTTTGTTGAGTTCATAATACCAAACAACGAAAATAATCAGAGAAAAAAAGAGAAAAAAAGGGGCCTCACTGTCTTAAAGGGAAAAAAACTTTCAAAAGTCATAAGTAAATACTTACGAAATGAATCAATCCAAAAGATACTTTAAGTGTCAAATTACGAAAAAGCTTAGTAACAGAATCCAGTTTATAATTATTCCAAAATGGATAATTAACTTTTAATATTTATTATAAATTTTTTTATTAATTTTTATTTTTATTTAATTAAAATAAAAAATAAAAAATAAGAAAATATTAAATTTTTTGTATGTCTGTAATGTACATATAGCTTTTCGAGTACACCTCTTTTTCATTGATTTTCTTGTTTTTCATTTATCTAAATTTAATATTACAATATTGTATCAAATATAAAATATGAGTTTAATTTTTCAAATTTTTTTTTGCAAATTACGAGCAAATAATTTCAACTAACACAGTTAAAAAAAAAAAAGAATGGTAAAAACAAAAAAGGAGATATAACTTAAACTAATGAGATATAACTTAAAAAATCTAAACTTATGATACGGATATTCTTGTGTCGTAAAAATAATTTTCTACTTTTGCTTCTTGAAAGAAGCTAGAATTTATAGTTTTTTTTCCAAAAAAAAGAAAAATCTAATTTTGCTTTCCATCTTAACCGAAGACCTTAAATTTCCAAAAAGTGCTTTTTATACAAAAGCAAAAATGCTTTTGGTCTCCAAAAGCTTGGTAAAACATACTCTTAATCTGAAAAATTACCGTAAAAAAACCGTTTTATTGCAAAAAGCAAATAATTCTGGCCAGAAGGCTTTCAAACACTTAAATTACGTTTAACTTGTTACAGTAACTTTTTGAGAAAGAATTCATCAGACAAAAAGAGAGCCAACATATAAAATAAAGATCGAAAACAGCTTTTGCATAAACGAATGGCCTCTGTCCTATTCATATTGCTCCATGAAATCATCGTTGAACTTTTTGAAACTAGCCATTATTGAAGGCATTTCTTCTTCAGCTGGCAAGATAGTTGTCCTTAGGTGGAACACCCTACATACAGAAGCACCCTCAAATTACAATTAATTCCACAAGGAGATAGTCTAATTAAGGTTTTACTTAACTTGTTACCAATTAATTTTTATCATAGTATTTTACCCTTTTAAGTGACCTGATTGTGCGACCATCTAACGACTAATTACCTTGTTGAACTTAAAACTCTTTTGACTTTTAGCATATTGATCCTAGCCCTACCAAACTTATTACAACAACAACAAGTCAACAACCACAGCCCAGTATAATCCCACTAGTGGGGTCTGGGGAGAGAGTAGTGTGTACGCAGTCCTTACCCCTACCCTGGGCTACCCTGGGATAGAGAGGCTGTTTCCGATAGACCCTCGGCTCCCTCCCTCCAAGAACTCCCCACTTTGCTCTTGGGGTGACTCGAACTCACAACCTCTTGGTTGGAGGTGGAGGTGCTCACCACTAGAGCTTGTCACCCTACCAAACTTATTGTTGGGAGGAATTTAACACAGCTTCAATTTTGATAAAAAGAATAAACTTACCCTTCCTTCTGACCAAACCCTGAACCCGGGACAGTAGAGATGCCCGTTGCTTCCAACAGCTTGAGACAATAGAAAACATCAGGAGCTTTCCCGAGCTTCTTTGCAGCGTCTATCGCCCCACGAGGCAATTGTATTTGTGGGAAGGAATACATAGCACCTGTTTAAATATTTTATTGCAAATGTAAATGGGCAGTCGTCTAACGTCTAACTTTAACATAATACAAAGACTCAAGCTGCTAGACATGACTTGCCTTCTGTGAAGTTACAAACAACATTTCTGCAGCTATTGAAACCGTCAGTCATTATATGTGCCCTCCTCCTTAGTGACTCAAGGATGCCTTTGCTGCAACAAGTATCAACTAGTATTTGTCATTCAAGAGTCTTTTTGGTTGCAAACACAAAATTAAACAGCAATCATCACCACAAAGGAAAAATGAAAATCCAATTTTTATCCAAATAGCTCTAAACCATATTATAGAAAACCCAGTGAAAAGAAGGGTACTTCCAGGGGCAGAGGGAGAGTAGAACCTACGGGTTCGGCCGAATGCGGTAGCTTTAGTCCAAACCATGTATTTGTCTTAAGAAATTCATTGAACATGTATAAATTATTAATTTGGAACCGAGTAACTCAAAAGATTTAGAATCCCGAACCCATAAGTTTCACGTCTCTGGGTACTTCCATCTCTAATTCCAACAATTTAACTATCGAAGTTCAAGATTTTCATGTAGCACAGAAGTCGGAAGTAATACCTTTCTCTCACAAATTGATCATACGAGATATCTCCAGGCTTAGGGGGGTTTGCCATTAATCCCAACTGTCGGAAAGAAAATACACAAAGCATTTCTTGTCAGAAGAAGGTTTAGGGGAAACTGGATGTAACCTTTAGATAACATAAAACAAGGTAAATACTTGATGTCCGAGAAAAGTTGACTGCTAAATTTAAATCACAATAATATTTCCTTGCCAGAAGTACCAATCTTGGAGGAAATGATTAAAAACTACTCACAAATATCTGTGCAGGTACATTTGGACTGAGCGATATCGAAGCAACCTTGTATATCTCTTCGACAGACTGCAACATCAAATGAGAGAAAGGCCACATCTCATGAGTACAAAGCTTCTTGGAATATAACATGACCCTCAAATGTTTTATGATGGAGAGCATTTCGGAATAGCTCAAAATAATGTCTAGTTAAACAGAATGTCATTATATTCACATTTAAATTGTGTCATCCACTAAAAATCACACCAGATTCATCTTTGAATTACGGAATGGTGGGGAAAAAAAAACCTTGGGAGGAATGTTGGTCATCTCAAAGTATCCACCACGCTGTCCACATTCACCCCAATAACCTTTAGAGACCGTATGAAATGAAACGAGCTGAAGCTCCTTACTTATGGGTGGACCCATATCCATTAAAACCTACGAATTTTGGTGAACAACATGAAATGTTATTCAAGATCCAATAATATTGTTGGGTAAATAAATTCTTCAAGTATACATAACTATATATGTACCTTTCTTGCACTTATGAAAGGATGCTCATCTTGGTAAATATTTTGCTGATAGACTTCGTCTCCAAGTAATACCAAATTTTCTTGGTAACAGAATTGTAAAATTTGTTTAACATTTGCTTCACTAAGACATTGTCCAGTAGGATTTCCAGGGTTTATAATCACCATTGCGCGTACCTAGGAAAAATTGAAGACATAAGTTGTTTGCAGGTCATAGTTAAGAAATGCCTGAGTAAAATGAAGAGCACAAGATGCAGTAAACCACTCATACAATTGCTTTCATACAATGTATCCCGCGCTCTCCATTGCTTTCATACAATATGCAGTGAAAAAGTATTCGCGCACTCTCCATTGCTTTCATACAATGTATCAATTTGAAAGTAAAGCCCCATAAAAAAAACTTTTTCAAGTTTTGCCAGTCCCGGAAAATATTTGTTTGTGTTTAAGTCCCGAATATGCTGTAAAGCTCCCCTTTCTACTAGTTATGGACTCAGGCACAGCCTAAAAGTCACTCAAATTGCGTCTTACTGAACTATCCCTCGGAAGTCCAAAGAATCATACAGGTGAGGATGTGTGCTGCAAATATCCGGAAAGCAAAATTAACGCATACTCACAGTTATTCCGTTCTTTCGGGCTTGTCTGATAGATTGCCGAAGGTCATTGATATCAAGACCCCAGTCTGCAGCCTCTTCAAGATAGTATGGAACAAGAGAACCCCCATACAATGATATCGTAGCAGAGTATAGCGGATACTGTGGAACCGGGACCAATACCTAACAGCAAATTTGTACCGTAAGAAATATTATACTGCACCTAGAACCTGGAAGTATTAAGAGAAAAGACTGGTCTATCCTTGTTTCTTTTTTTCCGTTTATATTAGTTACCCCATCGTTGGGCCCCCGAATGATGGTATGTAAGATCTGCATTATGCCTTTGCTGGCACCGTCTGTTAGAAATATCAGTTCTGGGTCACTGTCAAAGGAATAACCAGAAGTGTAAGCTCGATAACTAAAATTGATGTCATAGAAAAGTGAACCAGTTAAAATGCAAAAGCAATATAATAACCTTGGATATCCATCACGTCTCTCAATGAAATCTGCAATTTCTTTCCTTACACCAGGAATCCCACGGGAGTCACTATAAGCGCCTAATTGAACAGCAGTATAAAGATATCATTTCTCAAACAAAAGATCATACAACTGTCAAAAAATTGGGGCAAAAGCATGCTAGGGGACTCGCAACAACAATATAGACAAGTAGATGCTAATGGATAGAGCTCAAGAAGCACGGATGATAAATGCAACGCTTTCTATCAACGAGATAATAGATCAGGATATTAAGAACATAAGGAGGAACAATAAATTAAATGTGCAAAAGGAGAAAATGCTGATAACATAATTGGGCGTTTATTCAAACACAAGCTAGGGGGATAGTAATTGCTGAACAAAAGCAGAAAATTTTATAGGGAAGAAAGAACAGAAGGGATTGCAGACAGGAAATAGACAAGCATATAAAAATTAGAGAAGGCAACATGAGATGGAACCATGACTGTAACAGAAGCACAAGAAATTATTCATTTTCCACATTAATATATATTAAGTAAAAAATGATACCTAGTCCTCCAGAATTCAATGAAAGATAATGTTTAGCCCTTGCAATTGCATCAGCAGGGAATAAGAGTCCGACGTTAGGATCGTCCAGCAAAAATGGAGCTTGGCACAGTGCAATAACCTGATATAGAGAGTCCCAAGGCTTTACATGTGCAAAACCATAAGCATCATCTCATAGAACTGACATTCGGCAACTACAACAAACCTGGCGCGGAAATGTCAGCGGCTTTTGTCCAAGGGCATGGGGATTACCTACATTTGTGAATATAATCTGCAGAGTAAGAGGATTCATCAGATAGTTACACAAGCTCTCTCTCTCAATTAACTAATTGTAAAATGTTTGCGCGATTCTTTGAGCTGCCGAATACTTGCCTAGCAACATATCTCCGGATGGTTTTATCTATACTACTCCCACGAAACACAGCGATTTATCAATTATACAACTCTCTTGGTTAGAGAATTCTGGAATAGACCACTTCATATTGTAAATGGCCAAATTGTCCACTGATGGCTTCATATATCAGCATTGTGTATTCATAAAAGAGCTTGTACTGTGTCAGCATACTAGATCCAAATTTTACATATGATCAACTCTATGATCTTACAGATACCCTATGAGATTTAATAGAGCTGGGCATGGGCCACTAAATTCCAAAAATTCGCCAACTGCATGTATTTGACGCCAACTATTGCCTAAATCAGGATTTCTAATGTAGACAAGAATTCTAGTGCCACACACACACACACACACACACACACAAGACTTCTCAAGTACAAAAGCATAATTAACGAGGATGAATAGAACCAATTAAGACTAAAAAGTTAGAATCCTACTGGAACATCAAATTATGAGAGACTGAATTATTAACGGATTAAAAGCTATAAAATGTCTGAATATAAATAACATGACATGAGTAAAACTAAAAATCCTTAACTTCTTTCCTTCCTTCTGAAGTTGAGAAGCTCGAAGGTAGAGCTCACCTCTGACGGCATACTGACACTTCTTCACATTTTCATTCAGATTCTCATAGTCCAACGGCTTAGACGTCATTTTAAACAATTATAGCAGCACCTTAACCTAGAATTATAGGAATCAATTATGAGCAGTAAAATGAAGAAAAGCAGCCAGTGATTATAATAAGAAGATTATAAAAACATCATTAAATCAATTAAACCAATAAATGCAATGGTCATCAATAACACTTCTCAAAAAAATAATTACCTCAACAACTCTAGCTCTTGAACAAAGGAATTCAAAATCAGAAGAACAATATGAGTTCGTCGATAAGAAAAGAAGAAAGACAACAACTATAGTTACATGACTTCATGTGTACGCCGTGGGTAAGTTTTGTCATATTTATTCCACGTGGCAGGCATGCAGTATGTGATTGCATCAGATGAAGTAATGGGCTCACAAGTGAGTAGTGACACTCTGCCAGCTCATTTCGTCTCTTGGCTTGAGATGTGTGCCCGTTCAAATGTGCTCTCTATCTTTCGAGAAAAAGCAAATTACTCTCTATTGTTCAAATGTGCGCCCCAGAAATTTTTCGTTAAGTATTACGTCTTCGTTTAGTCTCTAAGTTCGACATATGGGTATTTTACAACGCCTAAATCTTATGTTTGAAGGGTTATATGTACATCTTTACGCTATTAGAAATTCGGGCAAAAAATTGTCAAAAAAAACTCGACCAAAATTAGTCGGTAATGGCCAATAACCGTCAAAAACGCGATCATTTATGTGTGGACGATATTTTGAAGGTCGGAAGGTCATACCGACCAAAGTTGGTAGGAACCGACCAACTTTGGTCGGTCGATTAAATTAAAAAAAAAAAAAAATATTGCCAAAAAAACCGACCAAAGTTGGTCGGTATTTTAATTATGTAATTAAAAAATGCACCATGGCAGGATACTATTCTTACCACTAGACCACTGGTGCAATTTTTTTAAGACTGCCTTTTATTTGATTTATACTCTTTAATTATATTTTCGCACGAAAATAACCGACAAAGTTGATCGATTTTATTAAATATTTTTTAAAATGACCGGCCGAATTAACCGACCAATTTCGATCTAAGTAAGCGATTAATTATTCTAGGTGGAATAGAATGCAATAATTAATCGAAAGAAGTAACACAAATAACGTAAAAGGGATAATTTGAAAGAATACACTTTATATATCCACTAATAAATTAATAGGTACTGCTTCTTTGAACTACATTGAACTTAAATAAATCTAAACACTAACTATGCAAGGAACAATTGGACACAATGGGGATCCTAAATTTTTTAGCCTAAAAGATTACCCTGTTCACATAAATAATACTTCGCACCCTTAAAGTGCAATGATTGCTCATATTATCCAGCAAGCACACACTATCATCTTCACCTATCCGTTTACTATCTTTAAGTTGTTTACCTAAAGCGCATTAATTCAATTCTAGGTCGTACCCTACATATAACTACCCGTCCCATGCCTATGATCCAGGAGGTATTGGACCACTATATAGGTAGCTCTAGACTCTTCCTAGACTGCTTAAAATTAGAAGACTAAGCCCCAAACAGTTCAAACAAATAGGAATTCAAAAAAGGCATAGTTAACAAGATGGGCTCACTGAAGGTTACCTTGACATGTAGACTCATATGAATGTCCAATAATTATCAGTTAATAGCGATGAGGGCAGTGGCAAAATTGATAGGTGAATCGCCCTTTGAACATGCTCATCTAATTGTGGGACTAAGGCGAACAATTATGAGCTAGAGTATGTTATTGAATTATTTAGACCTAAAACATGATTTCTATATCAAAACATAGACAACCAGTAGTGAGTTAATCAAGTTCATGGATAATCAACGAAGTAGATCTCATTATTTAAGTCCTATGAACAGGATCTGTAAATGATTATGTTTCGTATTTTCTAAACGATATAGCAGTTAAGTGATGCTAGTTCTTGTTTATGGAACCTATAGTCATGATTTCTGGGTGTGAAGTATTAAGAATATAGTTGGAGGACATGGTAGCAAAAATGGTTTCAATTACTTAACATAGGATCCTATAGGCATAATAGCTAAGTGGGATCCTAAGAGATGATTTCTAGGTGTAGCGCAAATATTCAAACAAATTAGCATATAATATGTCCTTATAGGCATGCTTTCTAAGCAAATTATGAATCATGTAGGCAGCAGTTAGTCATCAGTTGCTTGGAGTCCTAAGTTTAGGATTTCTTAGCGGAAAAGCAAAGCTGAAGTTCTTATAGGGATGTTATCTATTAACATGTAATACACAAAAGTAGAACATGATGGACAAGTAGCAAATAAAGTCATTTGGATCCTATAGGTATCCTCTCTATCCTTTTATGCGAGAATTAAACTACCCCAGCTCCCTTTTAACTATTTGCCCCATTATTTGTCTTCACAAGTTATTGCAGACCAAATAGAATAATTACAATCCCAATTACAAATACAAAGTAACACAGTAACACATATGGGCCTTCAACATCCTTGAACTTCATGGAACTAGCATGCCCAAACTCCAGGTGCACAAGGACGAATAAAGCACGCTTGAGTTCAGTATTCAGACCCAATACCAAACCTGGCCCAACAGACCAGGCCCAAACATAGAAGCAACTACCTTGTTTACCCATTATTCTTAACAACTAGGGCTGTCAAATTTGGCCCAAGCCCAAATGACTCGCCCAACCCGCCCATTTATTGAACTTGGCCCATCTTGGCCCAACCCATCTCAACCCATTTAAAGTTGGGCTAATTTTTAGCCCAAATTGATCCATGAGTAAGTTTGTCAAAATATCTTAGAAATAATTTTATTTTTTGTTTAATATTTTAAATATGACCATAACAAAAGCAAAAAAGCCTTATTTAGTAATTATACAATTTATAAGAAAATAACACATATTAATTAAAGTTTAATAAGAGTTGGGCGGGTTGGGTTGTGACCCGAATTTTAACCCATCTTGACCCAACCCATCTTAGCCCAAGTAACTTTTGGGCGGATCATTTGACCCGCCCAATTATTGACTCAACCCATTTTGACCCGCCCAAAATTGACCCAACCTGCCCATTTGACAACCCTAGTAACAACCAACAAGAGCACAAATAATACAAGTGATAGCCTATCCAAACCAATTATTCAAGCGACTTCAAATCTAGACAAAAACATATGCACATCTTATCCTTAAAGAACAACTAACAAAGAATAAGAGTCTCTAGATAACACCATGAGATATGATGTCTAAAATGTGATAGAGCACATAAGCAGGAAAGAACACATTTGAGAAGCTCATGAAAGGTTCTTACAAGCATATACAACATAAGGGACATACAGAATAAATAGGTTAGGACAATTACACATCTTAATGGCCTACTAGGTTCATAGAACTAGTTTAGGGTGACAACATTGTCGTGCCCTATTTTCTCGCGAAAGCAGGTTTCGATATGTGACAACTCTTTTAAATGGGTATTAAAAGAGAAGAGTCGCCACTAATTTTGAGGTGCATTAGGGCATCTATTTGGAAATAACTCTATTTTAGCTAGTGTATGTCACCAAAGATTGTGTATGGCTCAAATTACCTCAAAGAGAAGGGGTTAGGCACACTTTGAGGTCCACAACTGTTGTTCCCAGCCGAATACTATGTGGATTATTGAATTATAATTACCCTATGTGATCATATAAATTAAATGTAACATTCCATACTTTTGTATGTTGGATTTATCGTAAGTTAATGGATATAAGTTCAAAGACAAGATTATTGTTGAGGTTATAAGTGGTTATGCTAAGTTTAAAAAGTTTTTTAGGAAGTATCGTAAGTATTAGAGGTCAACAATTCAAAGAGAATAAGTTTCATCAATGTAAATACCTGGTGCTTTCGGGCTATGGCTTCAGCCGCTCGACGTATGTAAGTAGACTTGAACCATGAAGGATTTCGGTCATATTCAAGTATGCAAACAAAGAGGTATATAAAAAGATAAAGTCCCGAAATGATGTACGACTTAAAAGTGTGATGATGGTGGTTGGAAATAATACTTGGTGTGTATAAGGAGGCTATGGACTAGAATTAGACCACACGATAGTGATAATGAGCTTATGAAGTGTGTATGAGATAATTATTATTTAAGTGAATTGATATCAAGAAATTAATTATGTGTATAATTGGTTGAATGGGAAATTATAGTGGAAGAAAATTAAATAAAATTATTGAATAAATGGTGTAGCGGATAACAGTTCAGTTCACATGTCACATGGTGGCAACAATATTTGTGACTAATCTACACCTATAAGTGGTGGTGGCACTATTAACTCAATATTTCGAGAGAGAAGATAAGGAGGACATGTGTAAATGGGAAAAGGTTACAATTATGTCTCTTGTTTCATTTGATTTGAGAATCAAATTGAAGAATAGATAGGTTCAACATAGAGTAGCAGCAAGGAATGTTAATTTGAGATGATTTTCAGCAACATGAGTTCAAAATTTCATGAAAGCAAAGTATAATCTTTCACAAGGACATCATACAAATTTTTTCCTACTTCGATCTCGCTGTTACATGTTTTATCGCGATTGACGTGTGTTGGGGGGATTGCCAAGAGAATCACCTCAGGTATGTTAAGTCTAACCCTTTCTTCTTTTGGCATGATTTAAGCAACAAAACGTAAACATAAAGTTATTCCATAAATGGTTCTACTCTTAGTAGTTAAGGATGTCTAAGTTATTCCTTCCTGTAAAATGATATTCAAAGCATGTCTAAGTATGTTCCTAAGTCTCAAGTGAGGCATTCAATAGAGATGTTAATGTTCATAATGTAGTGTTATATGCATCTTCATTTTCCATCGAGCTACGGCCGGTTAGGCAGTCATGCATCATCATTTACCATCATGCTACGGCAGGTCAGGAAGTCATACGTTTACCACCGGGCTACAACTGGTTGGGCAGTCATGCATCTTCATTTACCACCAAGCTACGGCCGGTTGGGAAGTCATGCATCTTCATTTACCACCAAGCTATGGCCGGTCGGGCAGTCATGCATTTACTACCGTGCTACGCCCGATCGGGCAGTTGTGTATTTACCATCGTGTTACGGCCGATCGGGCAGTCATGCATTTACCATCGTGCTACGGCTGGTCGGGCAGTTACCACTGATCAGTTGGGCAGTTAACGTCACAATAATGATGTAATCAGGACTATGGCATTTTAGATACACACACACACACATGAGATTGAACTTATTATACATGTTATGGCCCTTAGCGGCAAGTCGAATTACGGGTTAACTCTTATTCCTCTCTGT